AAGAATATCTGATGAAACTTCTTTAGGAGAGAGGGCCTCATATTATCTATCTTCTGTAGTTTCTCATCGTTGATGGTGGCGGTTGTCCGTACGATGCAGCCTATTTGATTGCCGTAGCACCTGCGTGCTTCCTCGGGCGCTTTTGGCTCAAAATTGCCGTCGTCCACCTCTGTGACCACCAGTCTAGTAGTCCTAAGTTTGTTAGGAAGCCGTTGCCTCTTTGCTTTCGGTTCTACACCGGCTTCGCTCCCCGAGGCAGTGCCGGTCTCAGTCTCAGCGTCGGTCTCGATGCCGGTTTGAGTCTCAGTACCGGTCTAAGTCTCAGCACCGGTCTACGTGTCGGTCTCAGTCCTCGATGCCACCGGTGGGCCCAGCAACAACATCGGTTGATTGTCGGCAAGGCTCAAAAATTCGTCTGCCGCCCGGTAGACATCGTCGCAATCACCAGAACCCTGCCCTTCATCATTGCTAGCCATGTTTCCTACGATTAAATCTAGTCAATTAATTCTAGACCTAATAAAATAAATAATGACATAAAAAGGCCTATTGTTTTGCAGGAACATTGACTCCTTCCCGGTGCGGCAAATCCCGGGCACTCGATATGTCGTAGTTTGTAGCACAAGTCATGCCGAAATTCACGGAAAATTTCGGCATGACCTTTGCTAAAAAAGTGGACAAATCGAGAACCTGAAATTTGCCGGAACGGAAATGAATCAACATTCCGGCAAAACATAGGCCACTCGGCTTCATTCCATGGAAACAACAAAAGGCCACTTGGACACAATCAAAACATGCTTGTTCAAACACAATAGAGGAATTTGCATATATCGTGACCACTTCAAATTTGCATGTCCTAGCTTTCCCTACTGCCCTAAACTAAATATAGATTACATTTAGTTAACTACTGAACTAAATTACTTTACTCTAAACTAAATTCCCTACTGCCCTAATTAACATCTAGTTAAACAAACTCAATTTAAAAACTAAACCCTACTGAACTAATTAACATCAACATTATCTACTACTTAACATCTATTATTACCCTAACTAAAAAACATCTACTATTAACCATACTACTACTACTACTAAAAATCATTATGTATGACCCTAGTACTAATTAACATCTACTACTACTGCTAATTAACATGGAAGAGGAAGAAGAGAGGGGGCGGGGGAGTGGTGGGGGGCTT